TATATATATATATATATATATATATATATATATATATTTCATATATATATACATATTTCACTCACACCTTGGCAAAAAGTTCGGAGAGAAAGATGTTGAGCACACATGATTTGTATTGATTCGGTTATTTAAGGAAAATTGCTCATCTATTACTTTCCCAAGCGATATCTTTGCTTTCAAAAATCAGCGTGGCACAGAATGACCGACAAGGAATAACACGAAGAGTGAAATCAATTTGATCTTCTTCATAAATATTGCAATTCTCCATAATGCCAGAATTTTTACTGCAATTAACCTCAAATCTTTCGCTTTTACTTCTGTCGGATCAGCTCGGAACCTGGCTTGGTCGTACATCACACAGTATATCGATATATATATATATAAGACATCAAATCCAATAGGATGATATTAGAAATTGCTCATACGCGATGTCCTTCGGTGAGCAATTAAATACAAAGTTCGCGGAATGCTAGTCGGAAGTAGATATTTAGTCATCCCAATAATAATAAGCATTAGCTTTCTGCGTTCATGGCCAAGAAATTCAATTCGGATATTTACTGCACATTCTATACCGTTCAAAAGATCACTAAGTTTCAGAAATACTCTTCCTTTCCCTTCACTTCACCTTATTATTGATTCAAAAGAAGATCACACAGAAGGTCACAGAGGCATAGATATTATATATTTACTATATAGGTCAGTCGATGATTAAAGTAGATATGCTCTGGTTAATACTTTCCTACAAACTGTCAGTATAATAGATAATTGAATAGTTGGATAGTTCGACAAGTGATATCATTCTTTATGCTAACGTGGAAGACGAGCTTAATGCTTTTATTTTGGAGTCATCAGCGTCAACTGACTTTGTAGAACATCGTGCATTTTTAACGCAAACATTGCCGAAGCGAAGTTTTGCAAGTCACTCTTAGCATTGGCCTTCAATTAATAATACACCTTTTCCCACCATATCCAGTAAGTTTTTTCTTCCTTAAAAAGCTTTTTACCGAAAATGTTCAAAAATGTTCAAAACTTTCCTGATTTAATGGGAAACCAAATAGAAACCATTGCACAGACTCATGCAAACATTTTTACAACAAGTAGTACTTTATCAGCTGTCCACACATAGAATCACAATGTAATGTATAGCTGTGTACAAAGTATCCGCATTCATTAAAAATTTCGACATCACAGAAATCCATCAATCAATTGTAATTTAATTCCCAAACAAGTTTCACAGAAGACTGGTTTGAAAATTTACATTTGCAGTAAACACTGTCGCCCCTTCAGAACGAGAACTGACTCTTCATCTTGCCATCAGTTTCGGATTCTGTCAGTTATTTCAGAAGTTCAGCTTCAATTTCTCTACACAATAAGAGGACAAGCACTAAAACCCTAAAATCCAGGAGGCGGGGGGGTGGGTGATTTGCAGCACCACGAAATATAGGCGACATAGAGATCGAATCAAATTGCAATGAGAGCAGACAGCAGTGAAGAGTAGTGAACTATACAAGTCTGTTTTTCAGACCCCTTTTCATATAAAGATTCAATTGACAAGTAGGCCTTCGCACGATAATAGACTATAATTTCTGATATCTATTTTATGACGAAAGTAGGTCAAGAATACTATTAGCCGAAGTGACGTAGAATATTTAATAAAAAAATAGGTTGCCTAACGCAACAGCTGCAACAGTAATAAGTAATTTACATATTTATAGTTAAAGGTGTTTCGAGAAGAACTGTGTAAGGATTGAAATGTGGCAAGCAAGGTCATCAAATATGATTGTTGTGATAACGCTATGTACCTCAAGAATTCTGAAAAGCATCTAGAACGAATTTAACTTAAATAAGAGAAGAAAAAAGGAACTCGTACCGGATTTATCGGATTTGTGCACTTAAAGACATCTAAGAAATGAAAAGCAAAAAAAAAAAAACCACAAATGTTTTTATGTTTTTAATATTTGTGAGTGTATTTCATAGAAACAGTTTCCATATGAAATACGTTTTTCCATTTTTTAAATTTTATTTATAAAAGTTATTTTTTATATCTTGTATTGTAATTTTAAAAGTCTAAACATCTCTAAACACTACATCCATACAAATATAATGAAATTTATATATTATCACGGATTATTTTTCTACAGTTAAAATGTTTGCTATTGTACTTATTAATATACATATAACTTCGGTCAGAAATTCGTTCGGCGCGTACATTCTGATACCTTGCGCCTGATAGGGCTCAAATTCGTAAGTCATGGTCATTGTATGCAGTATGATGTTATCTAAGTTCTTCATTGCAGACGATTGACTAAGGCTTCGAGCCTTAGTTAGGTAAACCTAACTGACTTCGTTTATATGCAATTGTTTTCCTATATATATATATATGCATGTATATATATTTATGTATGTATTATGTATTGATTTATGTATGTATGTATGTGTGTGTTTGTTCATAAAAAAACACAAAGCACAAATTACATTTTAACTGTTGAAAAGATAAGTGAATACAAATAGATATATATACAAACTTGTGTGTATGTGTGTGTGTGTGTGTGTGTGTGTATGTTTGTGTAATGAAATCCGAAAAAATTGCATTATTTTCCGCATTTGATTTGATGTTGTGTTTGCTGTTTATTCTCTTGTTTATTATTTCAATACAAATTCGCTTTATCTTACTATTGTACTTAAAATGTATAATAATTTTACGGTTTATTATTAGTTTTCATTGTTTTTGTGGTTAATGCTGTTCTTGTTGACGTTGTTGTTGGTTGTTTTTCTTTTTGTTTTTGAAAAAAAAAAAAAAAAAAAAAAATACTTTGCATTTCATTATGACGACAAAGGCGGCACCATAACGAACTAATTTATAATTTTAAGGTAAATAATAAAACAAACAACAACAACAATAACACCAATGGCAACAATAACAGTACAACGGCTGTAACTACAATTAGACCAGCAATGTAGTAAAGTATTATAACAATGTTGTTGTTGTTATGAATTGTTATTATTATTATTATTATTATTATTATTATTTGCTTTATATTTCCATTTTTATTGTTGCTGTGGCATAGACATTAAAGAAACGCTTAAAAATTAAAAACACTTAGTAAATATCACACTTTTTCATGAGTTTTCCTTCTTACAACGAAATGTTTTTTTTTTTTTTCCTTTTTGTTCGAGCAAAAGCTTCTATAAACTTATATAAATAGAAAAAAAAAAAAAAAAAAAAAAAATGAAAATATAATTAAACATAAAATGCAAATCATTTATGTATTGTCCATGAAATGTTAATTCTTTTGCTCGAATTGTGAATGAAGTGCAATGAAAACGAATTTTGCACTTATAACTCTAACTAATAATGTACTGTGTCTGTGTGGATGCGTGTTTGTGTGTGTGTGTCTGTGTGTGTGTGTGTTTGAATAATGGATAAAAGGGTGTATGAAAAAAAAAAAAACTAAAGAAACTTTACAAGATATGTTTGTTTGTTTTTCTTTTCGTTTTTCAATTTTTTGTTTTTCTTCTTTTTCTAAGAAAGTCTGGCGAGTGTACAGGTGGGATGAATTATAAAAAAAAAAAAAAAATTAAAAAAACATACAAAATACTTTGAAAACATTGCGCATAAATCTACTTAAAATTTGCAACAACAACACTGTACTATAACTCATTTAATGAGTTTCGTTTCTTTTTTAAAACTTGTTCTCTTTCGTAACAAACAGAGTTGCACAGCGTGGCTGCATGAACTCTTCGCCCTTTTGCCTTACATATGCGTGAATGAATACTTTTTTGACCTCCGCGTGTTCTTTTCCTACTAACTCGTAGAAGACTGCTATTCAGCAATGCCATCAAAAATTCTGATTCTATAATTTAGCTTCAATTGCTATCGTGCGTATACAATTTCCGTTTATTAATGGTATAGTCGGGGCTTATCGTTACCGTCCGTGACAGGCCCTTAATGAATTGGGGTAATAACGCGGTCCATCCTCTTTTATCTTGCCTTAATGTTAAATAAATTTCAAAAGTTGATACCATTTCTTCGTCTAGTTTCAGTTTAGCAATACGTCTAACATTGTTGGGCTCTTCTTCGTATTCTATAAATACGGTGCAACCTCGCACACCGCAAGGCTCACGTTCCGACACGCGTACAATGTCGGTCGCTATGCGCATTGTGAGATCGCTTGGTAAGGACACTTCTGTGCAGGTAAGATTACGAGTTTTCGCCACACGCAGTTCGGATAGCAAGCGTAACGAAAGCTCATTGATTGCTGCCTCTTCAATTCTGCCGCAATCGAATTGCTCTTCAGTTAATTGCAAATGCAGTTGTTGTTCTCTCTGTTGTTGTTGCTGTTGTTGCTCCTGTTGTCCACGGGAATTGCTATTCAATGATCTTGACCAATCTAAATATAACGCAAGAAAGCAAAAGAAAAAAAAGAAAAAAAACAACAAAATTTATAAAATCTGTTGAAATACACACAAAAAAGAAAGTAACAAATATATATATGTATATATATATATATATATATATATATATATATATATATGGAGGGTTATATAAATGACCGCAATAATAATAATAGTAATGGACAGAATACAAATTGAATTTCAATTTGAAATTAAATCACCAACACAATTACCCACTTGTCGACCTACCTTCGATGATGGGCATGCAAGATTTACGTTAAGGGAAAAGTATATATCAGGGATTCGATCTCTACAGATTATCTGCTCGCTACAATCAATTGTCCATTTCATCTAAACAGTCTCAATTGGACTCTCTAAAATTGCTTTACAATTTATTCGTATTGCGCATGCGTTTATCTCATGCAAGAATATTGTGAAGAGATTATCAGAATTAAAATTAGGCAGAAACTTGTTGCTTTAGGACACGTTCCGAATGATTTTACATTACAAAGATTCGCTTTTTCAAAAATTATGATCACAATCTCAGCCAATAAGAACTTGAGCGCCTTACGGTTTTAGTTAAAATCAATTTTTATAACTTACATTGGAAAAATGAAAAAGATTTTCTTTCGTTTTCATTGAAAGGAATCATTATCTCTATAAGCGTTATCTCTGTATGGGGGGCTTTGACTTTTTGTTCTATTTTTCAATAAGATACCCAAACATATACATAGTCTGTACATTTATGCACTGTATTGCAAATATAAAAAAAAAAAAAAAAAATCGTATCTAAAAACTGATAACAGTGTAATAAAAAATATTGCTGTTGTAATTTGTATAATAATGTCTTAGCTCGTTTCTTTTTTTTTTTTTTTTTTTTTTTATTGGGAAAGCAAGATAGGAATTCTGTTTATCTGGACTCTCCGACATCCACAAATCGTTTGATTCCCTTACTCTATTGAATATGTATTATAAGATAGTAAACGTAAGGTAGCGTGCATACAAAATCTAACTATAGCATGACATACGCTTAACATAGGCGTAGCGAACCCGAATGTGTGCATTTTTGATATAGCATATCAGCGCCTCGAAATAGTTACATATACCAACCAGTACAAGCTACTAAAGAATAGTTTCATTAATCTGAGAGTAAGATTAATATTAAAGATTAGTTATCTTATATTCAGATTACTTTTAATGGCGGATGAATCCACAACGACCGATTTCACTCAATGATGAACGTATTTCACTGCGAATGGGCGGCTACTAGACTACAAGCAATGAAGACGAAATTTAATATTTTAAGCAAAGTGATAGAATTGCGGTTGCAATTTTAATAGATAGGTACAGACGGAAGGCCGGACTGGCAGACACAATTACATTAACAATTCTGTTACTTAGGCCGATTGATAAGGATTTGTTTACTATACGCAAAATCTACGATTACGATCATTATACGAAAAATGAATGTAATTATTTGTCGATATTATTGATGACGATGATAAGGTACCGTATGCTCACCTTTAATGCGACTGGTAGCGATATTCCTGTAGCGTTGATCTGTATATTGATTTTGTACGGTTAAGACTTCCATTTTATTGTTGAGGACAGTATTTGGATTTAATGTGAAAATGTTCAAACTTTTATTTAAATCGCTTTTCGAAAGTCGCGGAACAAACGGCATGCACTCACTGCACACGATTAACAAAGTTTTTACAATTTTACAATTCTTCGTTTCGGTTTTATCGGCAAACGAATTAGTGTTTTTTTTTTTTTCTTTTTTGTAAAAATATATCTGTTTATTATGTTTCCAGCCGCAGTCTTACGTATATGCACAGTCTGGATTTAATGGCCACTATTTATTTTTTTTTTTGTTTTCCTTTTCAAAACTAATTAATAATCTTTAATTCAGTTTAATTAAAGTAAACTAAAGTTTAAGCTGCGTACACGCTCTCTGATATTCATAAAAAAAAAATTTTTTTTTTTTTTTTTTAGTTTGTTTGTACTCCTCCTCTTATTAATTTAATCTTTTAAAAATTCATTACACTCTTGTTACTTATTATTTTATTTTTAAACATTCATTAATATTTAATTCACAATATATAAATTTTAGTTACGCGGGTATACGAAATCAAGGGAGAGTGTTAGAAAAGTAGAGTGGAAGATCTAACTAACGCACGTGCACTCTAAAGCGTTGTGAATATCAGCAGTGTTTTCAGGCAACTAACTGCTTAACAGCTGTGCAGTGAGACTTTTATACTCGACACTTCATCATTGCTTACGAGACCGCGATTACGGGTCTATAAGATTGTATATGCGTATCGATGTGTTTGTATGTTCGCTTATACTTACTATATGTATGCATGTATTTATGTATCTAAGATTGTGTATGCATGGCTGCATGTATTGCTGTGTTTTTGCCTGTGTGTCTGGTTGTTTGTATATATATTTAAATATATGCATGTGTGTATATTTGTTTACATATCCCAATGCATTTCATACACGTACTTCTTGCATGCATACATACATACATCGTGCATATATACATAAATATATTTATATATATATATATATATATATAGTATATTAAACTAAGGTTTTGTTGATTGTATGCGATACTTGTTTTGATTTTGTTTCTTCGCTGTTTCTGTTGGATCTACAAAATATTTTACAACAAATACAACAATAGCTACAATAACACAATCGTTGTTGCCTGTATTTTGCTTGCTCTTTGCTGTTGTCATCGCGTTCTTACCTTTTACCGTCCACCTCATCTCTTGTTATTTGATTAGATGTTTGCTTAAACGTCGAAAATGAGAAAAAAGCAAAAAAAATAAAAATAAAAAATAAAAAAAAACATAAATAAATAAATAATAAAACAAATAAAAGAATAAAAACAAAATAAGAAAAAGATGAAAATAAAATAAAAATATCATGACAAATACACATTACACGGTACTATTACCCTACAATTGGGGCTAAACGCATAGCAAGTGTTAAATGATTAAATGATTTAATGATAGATAGAATTGATATACGATCTTAAAACTTGTCGAATCATTTTAAAAGGCTAAGAACCACTACTAGTTACTAAATATCAAATTCAGAACACGTTCTAAGAATTTTGGCTACATTTTCATTGCACACACGCACACACCCTCTTCCTTCCTCTCTCTCTCTCTCTCTCTCTGTCTCTGTCTTAAAATTTTTAATTCTAACGTGGACATATGAAATGCACTAATTCTTTATACCGTCACTTCGACTCCCCAATTACTATATGTATATGTATATAGATAGATAGATCGAATACCTTTCTGAAAATCTTTAAATCGTTTATTGAGGTCTACAACTTTCTGCGTAAGATATTGTTTTCAAAACATCAAGAGGCTGACAATTGATCGTTCGATCACCGTGATTGTAATTATAGTCGTGACTCCAGTGGGCTACCACGGTCATTGCGGTGCCGCCCAAACGACTATTATTCGATGCACTTAGACTGTCTTTTACTATCATACAGAGTAACAATTGAAGTGAAGTATTTCATGTTTCACTTAGGATCTTTCATGAAACTCTGTTTCCTTTGCTTAGCCCGCCAGTCCCGTTAGCTATCCTGATATGAGAAATAGCCGAAGCGAAGTGAATATTTTTCACTACGTTACATATAGATGTTCTAAAGCAACATACAAATCAAAAGCCGTCGAATTCATGAAACGCCGGCAAAACTCGGGCTTTTTGTTTGAAGTTCCTGACAAAACTGGTTTTTAGTATGATTCCTTTTATCTCTCATATAACGTCATCGTGTTTATTGCTGCTAATCTAATTATTGAGATTCTCCCACAACTTTTCATTCCCGTTTACATATATATTCAAAGTCTCCCAGATGCAAAATACTCCTTTCTCAGATATGTATATATATATATATATATATATATCTAGAAAGCAGACAAATCGATACGATAATCGGCATATTTCCTCTTCAATATAGAAAAGCAAGCGTTATGCTAGCAAATACGTATCTGATGCATCGTTTATGGACAGCTTCAACGCTTGTTGAACATTCTGCCCATGCCTCGGTTATGTAGTATGTATATATGTATATATATATAAATATATATATATATATATATATATATATATATAGATATAGATGTGTGTGTGTGTTTGTTTGTGCATGTGTAAATGTATATCTGTAACTTTAATGTGTACAATCAGTAGTTGTTGCTGCTTGTGTATTTGAATAATAAGTACAAAAAAGTAAATACATTCACACACACACAAAACAAAAAAAAAAAAAAAAACAAAAAAATCAGCCACAATGTACTTTGGTGCTCGGATCTATGTAGGTGTGTGTATTCATGTGTGTACTCATGGTATTAAAGCAAACAATTTACGAAAAAAAAAAGAAAAAAAGAAGCAAAAACAAAATACAACATAGGAGAAAAGGAACACAACAACAAACGATTATGATAAAAAGAAACAAAAAGCAAACAGAAAAAAGTAATCAATAAATTAACACTTTTTTTTTTTTCATTTTCAATTAGTTGTTGTTGTTTTTCTTTTTATTTATTTTGCTTTTTTCATGTATTTTGTTTTCTTTTATTTGTGTCATTTGCGTTTTCTTTGCTTTGCATGTGGTTTAGTCTGCAAAAATATGTTTTTCATTTAATTTATTGATCGTGCGTTTTATTTTATTTATTTATTTATTTTATATTTTTTATTTTTTTGCTTTTTATTCTCTTGAATCATAATATATGCGATTTGCTCTCACTTGCTCTTACTCTCGCTCGCTATGTATTTGCATACCAGCGAGGGGTCATAATAACTTTTTTAGTCCGTTTGTAGAACGAACATAATAAGTTTCGTTAGAACATGATTTTTTTTTTTCATTTTTTTAATTTTTAATTTTTTTTTTCTTGTTATCAAAACAAAACAAAGAGAATTTCAAGTTTTTGGTAAACATAACTAATAAGATTTGGTCAGTTTGTTAAACTCGAAGCTAAGTACACATCATCTTGTGAACGATTTGCGATCGGAACAACAAGGTTCACCTAAATGGACTGACTAAGAACGTTCAAGAAACGCTTTTATAAAATAAAAAAAAAAAATTATACATGTCCTCTACGCTTTGACAATAAAGTGCAAAACAGTTCAAGAAACTCTAGTCGCGGCAGCTCCTACATATCTTTATTATTAATGCTGATGCAATAAAAGGTACCTTGTTTTCCTAATTGGGTCTAACCCTCCAAATTGAATTTTTCGTGCAAAGAGAAAAATTAAGTACAGGAAACGAGACGAACATCGCATATCAGAAATATTCGGTCCTTAAAAAAATAAACGCGATAGGATTTTCTATGTCTACGTACCGTCGTATAAACAATTAGACGGTAGAACAACCGTTTTTCACTTTTAGTTGACTTTACCTAAAGAACAGTACCGACACGCTGACAGTCTTCACGTCCGTGTGCGCGAAATTTTTACCCTGATCTTAATTCATTTTTCATATTAGCTGCTGAGATCGTTACATATAGAATACGTGAGAAGATCTGCGATCTGATTCACCACTGCCCCTTGTATATGTAATGCGATCTCGATTGTTATGAGCTAGAAGCCGGAAGATGTTGAAGAACAAATGTCTTCCCTTAAAGCGTAACTGACATTAATCTAGTTAACTTCGATCCGTTGCGTAATGTTAATTCGCTTCCAAATTACTTATCGATCACCAAAGATAAAGAGTTGAAAGCAGCTTTAAAAAACTAAAGTTACTTTCTTGCAACTTCAAAAAGTCAAAGTCAAATCGCAAAATTTGTTGCTCAGCTAAAATGGCGTTTGTTTGACGATTCATCTTTCACTAGTATTGGACAAAAGGATTATCGTATTTCGTAACATGCACATGTATAGCTTGGTCTTCGAATTTAAACTAATTTTAAAGAAAATGGTAAAAAAGTAATTTCTACGCGTCAGTGCAATTTTCGTATAAATGAAACGACATAAGTTACCCAACTTGTCCGTCTTTCCCTTTATTGATGATATTTATAAATAATGAGATAAATGACATTTGCCGAAATAAGGAGCTGCAAATACCCGATCAATTACTTCATTCAGATATTCATTTCCATAGCTTGTACGTGTTGTATATCTTTGGCGATTGCGTCTAGAAGATGCAATTTTCACTTTGAAAAAAGTCAAGCATATAATGAACCGATTTGCGCCACATCTAAAAAGATGGAATAGGTTAAGTTTTTTTTTTTCTCCTTTTTTCGAATTCGAAAGTCGTAAGTGGTAAAAAATGAGTCTGTGATAGGAAAAGTTTCGCATTCGGATCGAGTGTGTTCACGTTTTGTAGGGTTTTCGCAACGTATCTTTAAGCAATGCACAATATATATGCAAATGACATGTCCAAGTAGTAGTACATGCACATGTATACCCATCTTTGTGCATTGTGCATGTGTGGATGTGTATGCACATCATACAGATTTTATTTATTTATTTATTTATTGAAAAAAAAAAAAAAAAAAAATTGTAAACACTGGAGGAGAAGTATAACCGATATATAGAATGAATCTGTGCGCCTATCAAAATAGTATTTATTGTTGTTGTTATTATTGCTATTATTTATTTTATTGCAGTACTGCTGTTGCTGCTGCTGTTATTATATTATTGTTTGTGTACATATTGTGCATATTTAATGATGTTTTATTTTGTGAATTCGTAATCAAAACAAGAAAACAACTGACAACAAAAGGGTTGAAGGCTGTCATCAGTTTTTGTAATTGTGTAGTAATCATATGTAAATTTAACAAAGTTTGCCTTTTTTCTTCTCTCTTCTGTTATTTTTAAAAGCCCATAATTTAGATGATGTAAAATACCATATAATCTTTATATAGACCACATAACAGTATGAATTGTGCGATATAAGAAAGTATTGGGCGTTCATTGCGAACTCAAAATACATTCGTTCGATTCATACTTCCTGCTATTAGGGTCAATATTTTTTAGACTTTTTTATTATAC